AATATAAGAAATTCTTATATTACATTGAATTAAAATTTTTTATCAACTCAAAAATAAACAATTTTTAAATTTCTATATTATATTATTATATACATAAATGTGAAATTAAACTTTAAAGTAAAGTTTAATTATTTGTTGATCATTTAATTATGTGCGTTTATCGATATATATTTTTAAGTACTAAACTCATTGTAACCTAAGATAGTTCAATAATATTGCTTTATATATACCATAGAATTAAATTTTCAATGGTTTAATCTTAAAAATATACATCTTAAGATATTCTAGGAGTAATTTTATTTAATTTATCTTTATTTTTACTATTTTATTCTACCCTCAAAGATATAACTCAGTAGAAAAACTACAATTATTTTCAAGGAAAAGATATTTTGATTGATATTTTTTTTGTATTTAAAGCATATATATATATGTAGACTTTCAAATATTTCATTAATAATTTGCCCCAACTTACCCAAAATTGAAATGATTTTGAAACACAATTATACTCTTGATGAATAATAAAATATTTTAATTCTTTGCATAAAAAATTGATTAAGTAATTTATAGTTTAATTTTAAAATTCATTTTATTATTACTGTCTAGTGATTAGTAGTGTTTCCGTAAAATATTCATTAATTTTATTATAGTTTACCTTATGTATAAATACATTTGTTATGAATGTATATATACAGTGAGTTAATTAAATAATCGAATGTGGTCTAAAAGAAATAAATTTCCACTTAAATTGTCATCGTCTTACAAACCTTCAAGTGTGATCAACACTATTAGAAAAATATTTTTAAAATATAAAACCAGTCTGATTAGACTAACTGTACATTCTCGTGAATCTCGAAGAAAAATCTCTTGATTTTGTAATTTTCAGATGATAACTGTTGTGCTCAGATGACCGTGCTGGAGATTGTTGATAGTTTTAGATTTAATGCGCGGGTAATTCTTTTGTCAAAAAAAAATTTATTTTTTATATAATATATTTAATTTAGTTTAATTCATAATATGTTATATTCTATTATATGTTATGGTAAAGGCAGTATTAATTAATTTGATTTTGTAATCTTTAGAAGGAGTATGTTGTATCCTAAGGAATGCTTCAATTATGGCTCGGCCTTTGGGCCAATTGGGGTTCTAATGGATAACGGATTTATTACAAGGGTAATACGTTTTAATTTCTTTAAAAAAAATTATTTGTTACTGACTTTTCTTAAAGTAAAGTTTATCTTTTTATATTGTAATTATTAAATCGTGGTAATAACGATATCGTTTTTAAATTATTGATATAATCATGGTAATGGCAGTATAAATTAATTTGATTTTGTAATTTTTTAAAAAATAATTTTTGTTATTCACTTCTCCTACATTAGAGATCATCTTTATACGTTTCAATCGATTTACTTTGCATATTTTAATCATTAGGTCGATTTGTATTTCATTTATTGCTGCAATATGTTTTACATCAGTTTATACAATCCATATATATATATATATATATATATTTATTTACATTTATATATATATATTTTTTTTTAATCAGTTTTTTGTTTGCGTGTACTACGTTTATATTTGTGGTATCCTCTATGATTATTTGTTATTGAAAGTCCCCCGATTGACGATTTCACAGCTATTGCAATAATTATGTTATAATTTTAAAATCGTTTACATAATCATGGTAATGACAGTATTGATCAATATATGATTTTGTAATTTTCAGATCCTGGGAACTGCTTCGATATTGGCTCGGCCTGCCGACCAAGTACACTGGCTGTAATCGTCAACAGATTTATTAGACTGGTAATAATTCGTTTTTTTTTTTTTTTATATAAATAAAATTTCAATTTTTGTTATAATATTCACACTCGCGAACATCTCTTCACTTATTAATACGTGTACATGACTACACTGTCTTGACAAACAGAAATTGCAATAGTTAACTATTTATTTACTGCGGAGACGACTAATGCAGTCATCACGAACACACATTAATTAATGTGTTTTGTAAATTATTTTAATTTTTGTTTGCATATTTATTTATTCACATTCTTGAACGTCTCTGTGGTGTTCTATCCCAATTGTGTATTGTAACGTTTAAGATTGTTGTACAATTATACAGTCGTACACATATGGTGCAATAATTAAATATTTACTTTTTTGATGATTACATAATATTAATGACTGTATTAATTTATGGGATTTATGAATTTCAGACCGTGCAGGCCCTGGGATATCTCACCGTTTTCAATTCTTTCGTACCCACGGCGTATTGAACGTTCTGTGCTGTTGATTTTCGTTAAGACCGTCCTCCCCTCACCAAAAAGGTACAGTACAAATTTTTTGTTATTGCGCCACTTGGATTTTTGTGTTTCATGATTTTATTTTTTACTTTTAGATCGCAATAAAAATCTGTCTGCATTGTTGTTATCGATCGACCCGGTAACGTCTGGCTGTTTGACACGGATCGCTGTGCGTTGTTCTCTTTTGGAGCTCATCGAAAACGCCAGTAGACTTCTATCAACCGTGTACTTCGATATTATCTTTTTTAATAGACCATTTCTATAGTAACAATTAACATGTATTTTTATTGTTCCCTGCGTGGAAAATTACATTGAAATTTTTTAACGCTCATTATTTAAGTATGGAAAAACACATTAAAATCCAAGCTGATAATTTAAAGTGAAATAATAAATTCGCGGCGCATCGTTTATAAAAACTGTGAATTTCGAAAAAAAATTTTGATTAATTTCGAGTCTTTGATTTCTCTAAAGTAAATACCATTACCGTATACACTGGGGTATTTTATAAATCCCCAATCCGATAAGATTTTGTTTACATCGAGTTTGTAATGTTAACAACAAAACCATTTAAAAGTGAGACAAATAATCTCGCCTGTAAACATATTTTTTTCTCTCATATGTCAACCGTGATTTTCTTATTGTTGTGTTCTTGATTTTTACAATGATTTCTGCACTCGCCATAAGCATATATATATAGCATATACATATATATATATATATATATCGTTTTGTATTTTTATATATATTTTCTTTGAACTATTTTTTTTAAATTGCTCCGAGCAATTATTCCATACGATTATGTGTGCTTATTTATGTAAGCAAAATAAATTAATAATAATCATGAAAATCAATTTTTTAANATAATAATCATGAATATCAATTTTTCAACCACGTTATTATTTAACTAAATAGTTAAATTATTTAACTATTTAAACTAATCATTTCACTTGAGGTACACACGTTAGGGTTATCTCATACGATATTTCACTTACAGTTTATTTTCGCGTATTCAATATATTCTATATAATTTTTTTTTTAATTCCAACTTGCAAATAAAATTCATCTTATGNATTTCAACTTACAAATATAATTCATCTTATGTAATGTAGTCGAGCAAAAGTTCTGTGCTGTAAATATCGACCTGTTCTTTTATCATATGGTTTAATGACTAACCGTTTTTGATTTATCTTATTTTAAAAAACGACCCATTTGACTAATAACCATTGTAACATGTTGCATAATTATTGTATAATTTTTTGTGAAATATTTTTACTAATTATACCGTCATTCAACTGACATTTTACTACCCCGATACACAATTGACCACTGTGATTATATAATACATATTATATTATAATAACATGAAAATAAATCAACAACACGTTTTTAATTGTACGTTTATTTTAAATAATAAAATTATATATATTTTTATATATATCTTTATATATAAACATGATTTTATTCTATTCTATTCATTCGATTCTGAAACAAAAAAAAAACACGCTTATTATTATGCATCTATTGTTACGACAAAATAATTAAATAAACGTAAGAGGCAGAATACAGCGCTAAGAATTAATAATACACGTTCGCGTACTCATACTTCATTAGCTATTGTTGGTTTACCATAAATAAATTTCCTTAGCTTTGAACGAAAAATTTATTCCATATTATATGGTTAAACAATTTGACTTTTTGAAAAATCAATCGTTATTAGTTCTGCCTCTATTGTACGTGTGTATTTCATACCTTGCCCCGGTTGACGACGCATTTCGCAGTCCTCGGTGGTGGAGGAGGAGGATGAGGCCGTTGTTGCATTTTGCATGAGCAACCTCAACCGCTCGACCTCTTCCTCCGCATTGCGGCGAGCCCATTGCTCCGTTTCAATTAGAGGTTGGGTCGGTGTAGGTTGTGGTGGTGGTGGTGGTGGTGGTGCTGTTTTACGTTCTAAAAGAAAAAAAAAACGTTTTTTTAGCATATGGATATAAGTCGTAGTTTTATGTATAACTACTCGGGCATTCCCGATTCAAGTGGCCACCACTCTTGCACCTCCAGCACACTGCGAAAACGAATATCATCCGTCATCAATACGATATGGGTGCATAAAAGTATTTATAAGTAATTAATAAGTGCACTTACGTTTCCGACCGTTACGCTTTTTCCTATTCCTTTTGTTTTTTTTTAAATTGTGCGCCGTCGTGCCGCTTACACTTACAATATTGCACTTTATGAAAACTTGTTTCATTTTTTTACTTTATACCGTAAACTGTGATATAACGCTAACAGATTTTTCAGTCCGGGAATTCTTTGCCACTCCCAAGTCGGACTTTGGACTCCGTCGCTTTATAATCTCCGAGAGTCGTCAGCGTTTAAACGGAGTTCAATCAGATCCCGCCGACGATTTTTGTGGCGCGATCGAATAGGGCTATTCACTTATTTAGCCGAACCCCAAGACTCGCCGCCATCCGAGGTCCGCGTTCGCTTTTACAAAAATCTGTTTAGTGTTTTTCGTAAAACGTCAATGCCTAACCACCGCAAAGCAATCTTTTGTTGCGCACGACCCGAAATTCACGGTAACACGGCCGCTGGAGTTTTTCGTCACGCGCGTAAGTTGGACTTTGAACCGTGCGACTTTCTATCGTCCGTGTTTCGGACCACGACCGGGTTTCGGTCGTTCTATCGATATTACTTGCACCGTCGCGTTATCATTTCACAAATCCGAAGTTTATAATCAATTGAAAAGCCAAATTTTCATTTTTATGAATACACGTAGTAGACGTACAAATATTAAATTCTAATAAAATATAATATAATTTTGTTTTTTGTTTTTTGTTTTGTTTATATATTAAGTTCTAAGAATAATATAATTTCATTTTTTTTTTTTTTTTTTTTTTTTTTTTT